AAAAAGAAAAAAAAGAAAGAGAGAAGAAGAGAAAGGGAAAGAAATCAACTGTGAAAAGTATGCATGTGCCTGAGTCAGACATTAAGGGACTTTTTCTGGAAATTGATTTTAGTGGTAGAGTTACCCAGCAGAACTTCTGACCTGAACTCTGAGAAAACAATAATGACACGATCTCATGTGTCTTGAGTTCTAACTCTGTTGTAGGAGTTAGTATATAAATATTTGTATATAAATATTGAATCCCATAACTCTCCTGTGAGGTTTAATAAATGAGGAAAATGGAGGCACATGCAGACTAAGAGACTGGCCCAAAGCCACACAGCCAACTTAAGTGGAAGAATGAGGACTTAAATCCAGGCAATCTGGCTCTAGAAATTAAAGCTAATAAAGGCTTATATGATACATGGTATCATCATCATAAAGCAATGAAAACATATTTGAATTCCTATAAGCATATTTGGATTTCATGGTAGGGACTCAGGCTCAGCCCCCGTGTTCCTGGGCCTGTGTTTTGGGTAAAGGCAGTGTTTTCGTTGCGTAGGTATAATCAGGCTCTGGTCAGGGATTTGCACATTCTTGTCTTCCTTGCTGTGAACATTGGGTGGACGCTCAGCTTTATATTTCATCACTTTAGTTAGCATTCTGCACAGGGAGCAAATTTTAAATATTAACCCTGGAAAACTGTAGACAAATAAAATCACAACAGTCTTTTCAGGTTTCACTGAAGCTGAGGAAGCCTAGAACTCCAAGATCCAGGACATCTTTGCCTTAAAATAGAATGGGGATAGAAAATTTGGACTAAGGTATCACCTAGGCCAGCCCTTGGTACTGAGGTCTAGAACAGCATGGGTAATGAGGAGGGCTGGGCAAATGGCCTGTGAGCAGGAATCAGGCTCTGAGTTTCTGGACCCCCTATCCTGACAGGCGGTAAGAGGATCCGTGGGACTTCCAGTGGGTGTGCAGTGCATTGCTTTGCCGTGGGAAGAGGAGCTGTGTCTCCGGTTCATGAAGGAGGTGGAGACTTTGGTCAAGACCCAGAGGGACCCCAAATGACAGGCCACTCCTTCTCCTAGAGACCTTCCTAGATCCACACCGAAGTCTGTTCCCAGTGCCCCTGACTACTTATGAATACCATATCCACCTTGTATCTCCTCCTCTTGATAACAACCACATTCCTTTTCTTTGTGGTCCCTCTGTGTGGGTGCTTAATAAATGGACTCCCCTGATCAGTCCCCAAGATGGGGAGTAGGGTGAGGGACTCAATAAACACCTCTGACTGGCCGGCCTTGTGATCTCTGGTCTGGGTAGGTCTGCAGCCTCCTGCCTCTTGCCTCCAGCGGCTGCCTTCCAGTTCTGTCCCCCAGGTGCTACCCTGGATTGCAGCACAGGAAAAAGAGCCCCAGATTGAGAGACTGGAGACGTAGGTCCAAGTCTTGGCTCTGCCACTGGCTTGCTGTGTGATACTGGGAAGTCACTTCCTCTCTCTGGACCTTAGTTTTCTCATCTGCAAATTGAAAGGCTTAGATTCTGCAAGGTCCAAAGTTTGACCATTCTTCAAGCTGTGATTTTTAGATATTGCCCTGAAGAGAACTTAGCATAGCTCCCACCGATGTCTGGAGAAAGATCCAGAGAGCAAAGCTGAGGAAATAGAATCTAATTGGAGTAAATCTCGGATTAGGACCTAAACCCTTGGCTCACAGTCTAGTGATTTTTCCACAGAGCGCTAATTCCTTGGCCTTACATTCAGCACCCACCACCACCAAGACCCTCCACAGTCTCTTCTGCCATGACTCTACCACAGGACTGCCTCATTCCTTCCTTCAAACTGGAGCCCTCTTGCCAGCACAACTGCTCCTTATGCTTCTGCCTTTGGACCTCCATTCATCCTTCAAGTCTTGTGTCAGATATCGCTTCTCCTTCCTTGAACCTTCCATCTCACCCCCAGACTACTGCCACCCCCACCCCCATGACCTTCCTTTCATCTAAAATCTCTTGAGGTTCAAACCTTCCCCTCCCATCCCATTCCTCTTTGAAGCCCAGCTTATGACCAACTTGGCAAACTAATGAGCTCTTCCCTATGCTTGATAGTACAGATCTTCTGAAGAAAAAATATCAATACAAAGGAATGGAATTTATCCATCCATCCAGCCCACTTTGCTGAATGTTTTCTGACTACTGAACTAATGGTGGGAGTTCAGCCAGAAAAGGGCTTAGAATTTAACTCAGATGAAGACCCCAGCATACGGCAGGTCAAGCCTGACTCAGCCTACCATAGAAGGAAACATTTAGGGTGTCCCGGTGCAGGCCAGACAGGGCTATTGCTGACCTCACTGTAGTGCCCCCTCTCTAATTCTTCCACAGAGTCTGAGATCCCTGCTAGAAATAAAGTGTCAGGCTTTCCCCTCAGACAGGGTTAGTAGGGCTCTATCTCAGTCTTCCCTCCCTAGTAAGATGGAGGCTTGGAGAAGGGTGGCATCTCTAGCTCAAGCAGCTAAGGCACCAGTCACGTACACCAGAGCTGGTGGGTTTGAATCTGGCCCCAGCTTGCCAAAAAACAATGACAACTACAACCAAAAAATAGCCTGGTGTTGTGGTGGGTGCCTGTAGTCCCATCTACTTGGGAGGCTGAGGCAAGAGAATCGCTTAAGCCCAGGAGTTTGAGGTTGCTGTGACGCCACGGCACTCTACCCAGGGCTATAGCTCGAGGATCTGTCTCAAAAATAAATAAATAAATAAATAGGAGGCTTGGAGAAGGCAAGAGGCAGAGAGGTTCTCTACCTGTAGGGTCTCTTGCCTCTTCTCCCTGGGTGCACTGCCTGCTGCAACAGTCTGGGCACCAGGGGGCAGCATTGAGCTTCCCACAGACCAGACAGTCCTTTCCTTCTGCCCAGCCCAGCTTCCACCAGGACTTCCCCAGTCAGATTCTTTCATCCAACTCCATTGTGCTGATGGGGAAACTGGCACAAAGATAGGGGGCTGCAGGGATTAGCTAGGTGGTTTGATTTTAGGTTAAACATTTTCGGATTTTAAAATGTAAGGGGTGGAAAATTCTATTTTTGGCTGAAATTAGCTGGGGAAAGGTGGTGACAGACACCAGCTCAAAGGAATGAGTAAATGGGAAGCGCTATCCTGGGGACAGACTTCCAGCTGGGCTTCCTCTAGTATCTCTTGAGGTGATATTTGGGATCAGTAACCTCTTTCTTCCCCAGTTCTAGCTCTAGCTCCAATGCCAACCTCTATCCTCTGATTTCTGCCACAATGTCTTCATCTGAAATCACTCCCTGGCCTGTGACTGTCAGCAGGTCATTTGCATTCTTAGAGCTCCTTGCTGTGGGGATCCCGTGTGGGTACTTATGGGACCTCCTGGACAACAGCGTCTCTTCCTCCTTCCCTTCCTACTCTGTTACTTTCACCATGGAGGGCTTGATCTGGCACACACACATCCAGGTTTTGGCTTTGCCTCCTCTGAGAACTTGTGCAAGTCTCCTAGCTTCTCTAAGACTGTAAAATGGAGCTGAAGATCACATCTGCCACAGCCTCGCGAGACAGAACTACAGAAGTTGAAGGAGCAGGCGAGGGGATACCTGGGTTACCCCTTTCCAGCCTGGGAGTCGCTGTGGGGTGAGGGGCTTACCCAGGTTTGGGCGTCTATGCCCAGAATTCACAGGGCAGAGCCAGCCCTTCATTAGAGAGCAACAGGGTGAGTCATACTAGCGGAGAAATGAGCTCAAAAGTCTCAGGGCCCCCGACTAGGACCATTTGGGAAGGAGAAGGCCTTGACTTCTGGTCTTGTCTGCGCTGGGTGAGGCCCGGTAAGACCCATCCTCTTTCTGAGCCTCAATATCCCTTTGGCTGCATGGGGAAGGCGTGCCCGTGTGCCACGATCTTCCCTCCGTCTCCGCCCTCGGTCCCCATTCAACCGAAGGCTCGGTCAGTCGGCCCGCGTGTGATCTCCGCCGGCCCTGGGACGTTCCGGGCCTTTCCGTCCCACCCAGCGCACCTTCTTCTGTCACCCCGCGCTGCCTCGGGAGAGCCAGGCAGACAGACGCGGGCAGGTAGCCCACTCCTCCCGCGGACACGCAGGGCCCGACGGCGCGGACAGGCCCGGGTCGGGCCCCCTCCCGGGCGCGCCGCCGCTAGCTCGGCGCACCGGCCGCTCCGCCCGCCCCGCCCGCCGCGCCTCCCCGGGCGCCCGCATTAAAGCGCATATGCAAGCCATGAATTATCAACTGAAAGGAGTCAATTACCGGCTCTAAAAACGAGTGTCTGCGCCCGCAGCGCCCGGGGCCATCCGCCTATTTACGGAGTGATTTCCCCCGCCCGGCTGCGGAGGGGGGCCTCGGGAGGGAGAGAGAGAGAGACCGTGCAACCGAGCTCGAGCTCGGGAAAAGAGGCCGAAGCGGCCCAGGCTGGGAGAGACGCAGAGAGAGGCAGAGATGTAGCGAGACGCGCGGAGAACCAGGCTAGGGGTAAAGCGGCTCTCTCTCTTTCCTCCCCAGTGCAGGCGCTGGGAGGTGGAGTCCTCGGGACTGCAAAGGCCCTCTCCTTGGTGTCTGTGTGAGGATCTCCGTCCTCTGAACTGCTGACTGTGGTGCTGGGAAGTGAAGCCCCTAGACTGGGACTTGGGGGATAGATGTGGAGCTCAGGCAGGGATGTGGGAAGTAGTTTGTAGAGGACCAGCCATTCTGGCAGGAAATTGGGAAGCAGGCAGTGGCATGTCCAATGGCGTGGAGGTGAGGAATGAAAGCTGGACAGAGTGAGTGACCACGAGTGACTGTGGAGGGCATGAGGGACCGGGACAAAGCGAGGACGGAGCCCTATGTAGGGGATTATGCACAGCCCCTCTGGCTTAAGACACCAGCCCTAGTGGGATTGGGAGGTCCTGTCTGCCTTACCTACTTCCCTCCAAGCTGTTCCTTTCTCTGCAAATGCTTTTCCTGCCTGGCTCCTGTTCATTCTGAGATTCTGGATCTCCCAAACCTCTGTGCCTGCCTTAGCCTCTCAACACAATACACCCCATTCTATTCCACGATCCAGAACTGACATCTCTACAGACAGTGAGTGCCATGGGGGCAGGCCTAGTCTATCTTGCTCAGTATTGTGACCTGCAAGGGCAAGTCCCTTGCTGAGTGAATGAAGGTAGGAATGAGCTTGGATGGAGGCTGTGATGGAGACTGGGTGGGATGGGCCTCCCGTAGAGATCAAATGGAAGGCTTCAAGCAACCATAGTACTGGAGTGAAGTCTTAGTAACTGAGTCCTGTGCTCTTGCTGTGCACAGGTAAGGAAGAAAGAGGTAGGTGGGGGTGCTGAGGCCCAGCGCCATCAGCACCAGCAAGTCACTGCCAGAGCCCCCAAGGCTTTGACCCAAGTGCCTCAGGGCCCCTGAAATTCTAGGCCTTTTCTGGAGGGAGTCAGGACAGGGAACCCCCTGAAATTCTAAGGAAGGAGCAGGGCCTATATCAGGGTAAGGGGAAGAGTCTGGACCTGGAAATCAAAACAGGGGCCTTTCTATCCTAGCTGAGACTTCCAGCAAGCTTCTTAACTTCTCAGCCTCAGGTTCCTTATCTATAAAATGAAGACAGTTGTATCCACTGGTCTATGAATGTTCTCCTATCTGCATAGCACTTTCCCCAAGAGGAGAAGACCCTGTTGTCTAAGGTAAGAATAAGAACAGAGGCCATTTACTGGGACGTACAAGGTGCCAAGCACTATATCTCTGCACTTCATCATGCTTTCTAAGGTTGCTAAATCACTTTGCAGACAAGCAATCTCCAAGAGAGGCAAGGATTGGGAGGTGGCAGCATCAGGTTTTGAAACCAAGTCTGACTCAAGAGCCTCTTTAACCCCTGTACCCTGGGGCCTCCTAGACCTGACCTATGTACCACTTTCCCTGTTCCCTCAGCAATTCCTGCCTGGCCGAGTCCAGACTGGGCAGGGGTGTGGCTGCACAGTGGGCAGGGCAGCTCGGGTCCAGCAGGAGTGGCCCCTGGGGTCTTGTTCTTTCCATGGTGTGGGCTGGGCATCTTTCCAGCTTGACAAGTCTACAGCCCTG